ACTGTCCTGCACCAAAGTTTGAGAGGCGTAGCAGACCTACCTTATACATAGTCACAAACCCAAACAGGCAGCCATGAGATACTTATAATAAACTCAAATTGGATAAAAACTTAAAATGTAAGTTGTGAAACTATAAAAATCCTAGGAGAGCCCTGACCGGTTTGGCTCAGTGGATGGAGTGTCGGCCTGCGGACTGAAGGGTTCCAGGTTCGATTCTGGTCAGGGGCGTGTACCTTGGTTTCGGGCACATCCCCAGTGGGGGGCATGCAGGAGGCAGCTGATCCATGGTTCTCTCTCATTGATGTTTCTGACTCTCTGTCCCTCTCCCTTCCTCTGTGTAAAAAATCAATAAAATATATTTAAAATAAGACAAAATAAAAATCCTAGAAGAAGCCATAGGCAGCAAAATCTCAGCCATCTCTTGTAGTAGTATGTTTAGGGATACATCTCCTAGGGCAGTGGTTCTCAACCTGTGGGTCGTGACCCCTTTGGGGGTCAAACGACCCTTCACGGGGTCGCCTAAGACCATGGGAAAACACATATAATTACATATTGTTTTTGTGATTAATCACTATGCTTTAATTATGTTCAATTTGTAACAATGAAATTGGGGGTCACCACAACATGAGGAACTGTATTAAAGGGTTGCGGCATTAGGAAGGTTGAGAACCACTGTCCTAAGGCAAAGGAAACTAAGGAGAAAATAAACAAATGGGACTACATCAAAATAAAAAGCTTCTGCACAGCAAAAGAAACCATCAATAAAACTAAAAGGGCGCACACTGTATGAGAGAACATATTTGGCAATGATACATCTGATAAAGGGTTAATATCCAAAATATATAAGGAACTCATACAACCTAACAAAAGGAAGACAAACAATACAATTAAAAAATGGGCAAAGGACCTAAATAGACATTTCTCCAAAGAAGACATACAGATGGTCAAGAGACAAGAGACGTATGAAAAAATGTTCAAAGTCACTGATCAGAGGGATGCAAATTAAAGACAATGAGGTATCACCTCACACCTGTCAAAATGGCTACCACCAACAAATCAACAAATGACAAGTGCTGGCGAGGATGTGGAGAAAAGGTAACCCTAGTACAGTGCTGATGGGAATGCAGACTGGTAGAGCCATTATGGAAAACAATATGGAGTTTCCTCAAAAAATTAAATATGGAACTGCCATTTGACCCAGTGATCCCACTTCTAGGAACATATCCTAAGAAAATTGAAACACCAATCAGAAAGAATGTATGCACCTCTATGTTCATAGCAGCACAATTTACAATAGCTAAGATCGGGAAACAGCCCAAGTGCCCATCAGTAGATGAGTGGATAAAAATGCTGTGGTACTTTTATACCATGGAGTACTATGCAGCCGTAAAAAAGAAGAATCCCTTACCATTTGAGACAGCATGGGAGGACCTGGAGAGTATCATGCTAAGTGAAAGAAATCAGAGAAAGACAAGTATCATATTTCTCCCTCATATGTGGAATCTAATGAACAAAATAAACTGATGAACCGAGTGGACCCAGAGACATGGAAGCATGGGACAGAGTGGGGAACCTCGGGGGAAGGCAGGGGAGGGTGTGTGGGTGGGAAGTAATCAACCAAGAACCTTGTTTGCATATATGCATGGCCCATGGCCATAGGCAATGGGGCAGTGGGGGGCCTGGGGCAGGAGCAGGACAGGCTGGAGGGGGTCAATGGGGGAAAAAAAGAGGAATATGTAATACTTTCAACAATAAAGAATTATTTTAAATTTTTTTCCAAAAAAAAAAAAAAGCAGTGTAAAAAATATAGAGTTCAACCCTTTACCTGCTCTGTGGTGTGATCCAACAGTTAGTATAACGGAGTGGAAGACCAGAAATCTGAGTTCAAATGCAGGGTTGTTGCTTCAAAATTAAACCTCGGGCCTGCCGGGTGAAATCTGAAAGTGGCCCCATATATGGAGGGCGAGAGAGACTGAAGAAAGAGGCAGAGCACTCCAGGTTAGTAGGTGGCAGCCTTAATAAACCAGAGAAGTAACTTCAAAACAAATAGATCCACACCCACCAGCCCGAATCTTCAATGTTTATAGAGAGGCCTTACCTGAGTTCAGAAACTTCTATCCAGATGGTCTCAACACCTTACTGTCAAGGCTGCATCCTGGAAACAGTTCCTACTGTGTTCAGAACGTACATATAAAGGACAGGGGCGGAGCCTCTGAGTGCTGGGGTCCAGCTCTCTGGTCAGCCAGAGGTCACCGTCCTCTTGTTTTTTAAATATATTTTATTGATTTTTTACAGAGAGGGAGAGGGATAGAGAGTTAGAAACATCGATGAGAGAGATGTGCCCTCAACCAAGGTACATGCTCTTGATCGGAATCGAACCCGGGACCCTTGAGTCCGCAGGCCGATGCTCTATCCACTGAGCCAAACCGGTTAGGGTTCACCATCCTCTTGGGCTCCAACAAAGTTCTGAGGAAAACTAAAAGCCTTGGCTTAGCAACTAGCTGCCTGTTCCACAGTGCCCTCTGGCGACCAGCTGATGTCATACATGTTTTTTCTTAAACTCAAGAGTAAAATGTCTAGTAATCAAAGATTCAGCCAGCAGCCCCTCGGATAAAGTAGATTGTGTTTTCCGACCATTCTCTGCTCCAGCCTCATGCCTGCTGACCTCACACTCCTCACGCCTGCATAGACAGAGCACAGACCTGGGGATGAGGCTGGCTGAGGGGAGTGCTAGCTACACCACTCAGCCGTCAGTGGGTGGGGCTCCGCTGCAGCTCCCAGGTCCTGCCTCTGACCCTCCCATTCTGTCAACCAGCCATGCCAGCCGAACTCAACCTAATCACCATTAATCCTTCCTTTCCACGTTTCACTGACTCAGTATTTAGAGGTGTTTTTTCCTTAGTATACATAATTATTATCTTTAAAAAAAAACAACTCAATCTTGAGGCTGACCCAGAATAAAATTCCTAATCAGAAGCTTTACGACCTTAGTCAAAGAGGTGAAGCCTGTATCCATTTACTACTTAATGCGCATAAGGGTTTTCAAAGTGTTTCTTACCTCACCACGTACATTCTCATAGTTGAATAATGCTTCGCTGTCCTTTATACATTTATATTTAATAGGTCTACCATTATCCCATTAATAACAAATCTACATTTATAAAGTCAATAAGAATATGATCTTTATTCCTAGCATCTCTCTGTAGAGACAGCTTCAATAGAGGAAAGAGACTAATGAAGTTCCACATTGGACCTGTTTTAGATATTTTCGTCCATGACTCATTCGCCACCAGTCTTTACCATTGGTCTCTCTTTGCTCATTTCTACATTTGTATCAATTAAAGCATTAATTCATTGGTTATAATTAAAAATACATGGTTCACAAAAACTCAACAAGATCCTTGAATATCCCTAATGTCACTTTATGAAATTGGAAAAAACATTCAGAAAAGAGATATTCAGGTGGTGGCAGCACTGGTTGTGTGGCAGCCCAAACTCTACAGTTTCTGACCCAACGGTGCCAGGATCTGTTTCCTCTGAAACCAGGACTTTGCATGGCATGAACTGTTTGAGGACACTGTTCACGACAGTACAATCCAAATCACTTTTGAAGTCTCCATGACCGACTATCACATATAAGCACCGAGAAGTGGTGGAAGGATGGGGGATCTTGTAGGACTTCCTGGAGGAAGTTAACTTGAAGAGAAATCGAGTAATGTTTTAAAGTCAAGGGCATTCCCACAGGGGCCCAACATGAGTAAAACCAAAAGTTCAAACAGTCAGCATTACAAATTCTGTGTTACTAAGGCAAGATCTAGTGTGGTTGTTAAGGTCAACAGGCATCCCTCCCTCATGGTCTCAGGGAACTTGGGCTTTTGTCGTGCAGAGGGTAAGTTCCTGAAAGATTTGAAAGACAAAGTGTCACATGACTATATTCTGCATTTTAAATAAACCACTCGAATGCTCTAATGGCCTGGAGGACAGATGCACAGGGGTGACAGGAAGCTGTCAGGGAGAGAAAGGAAGTATTTGTACAGCAGAGACTTGACTGACCAATAATCAGCAACCCTCTTCCAAGATTGAGTTCCGAACCAATTGAGAAAAAAGGCAAAATGGTAAAGACAGGGGTTGGAATATCATTTTTATTGACAGATGCTACATAATGTAGCTTTCATCTGTGGGCTGCAGTTAACTTGTTAGTCTGGAACTCCCAAATTATTCAAATGTATCACAAAACCACAGGCATGCTGGACACCCCCGACTTCATGGCTTCATGCAGATCCCTATACGTCACAGTACCTACTTGAATTTTGTAAAAGTGTAAGCAGATGGGAGAATCATACCCTCATCTTTATTACTGTTAAAGACTAGATTAAGAGACAGTTTATCTGTAGGCAAGTGAACTTCCTATTACTGAACCCCAGAAGTCACTGGGCCACCTGGCCACAGACAAGGTAACTGCAGGCCTCCCTAAGTGAGGTCAGGCTGCTCCGACACTCAGAGCATGTCGGAATCAAGAGCATGTGCTCCCTGCAGGCAACGAACTCCTGGAAGGAAAAAAGAAAGAGCTGGGCATGACCACCGCAGACAGAGAGTAAAGGGTGGTAAGAGGATGGTATTACATCAGTTAGCCTCCCTCCAAAAGGAAAGAAGCAACAGGAGGGAAAGCATTCCTCCAACAAAGGTGGGAAGCAGTGGCTCCTGAGAACCAACTGTTAAACTTGGGGAAGTTTGCAAGCCAGATGTTAAACCCTGGGCAGCTTGAAGTCAGCCACGGCAGGAGTATGTACACCATGAAAATTAAAAAAAAAAATACCACAGATCAGTGCTTTGCTTTTAGAAAATAAAGTTGGTCCTTTTCTCATGTGGAAACATTAAAACTGAAGATAGGTTCAAGATTTAAAAAGAAAATATAAAGTACCAAGAAAACATATCAGCAAAGGAGGTCTTTCTAATCATGTATACCATAGACAAAAACTATAAAGGACAAGACCAACATATGACTACATAAAATATTTTTTTATTTGTCAAAAAATGTACCCCTAACAGGCAAACTACAAACTGGGGAATTTACCTGCAAAATACATGACTAAGAGGAACTATTAAGAATTCTTACAAATTAGTAAGAAACAAGCATCTCAATGGCAAAAGCCTCATAGACATAATCCACAAAATATAAAATTAGTAAAGAAAATTTTAAACATACCAAGTTTTGTCTATCACAATGACAGAGAAGAGAGAACATAGCCAATGGTGGTATATAAAGTATGAAAAACTGCTGACAAACATTTTGTTAGCAACATGACAATATATACCTTTTGACAATATACACTTCTCAATTTCTTCTAAGAAAAATAAAAATGTATAAAGATTTAGTTAGACTACTGTGGCCAATAATAAGAATAGGCTAAATAAATTATGGTAAACCCATTTAAAGAAATACTGTGCACACATTAATGTTGCTGAAATATGACATGGAAAGGCATTTACCACTTAAATTTTTAAAAACTCTTCACTGGAGGCCACAAAACAGCATCATCAGGGCCAACATGTTTTTGTAAATATAAAATGTGTACTGAGAAAGTCTAACAGGACAGAAAGCAAAGTATGATGTTTCCCTTTTCATTTGTCTGCATTTCTACAATGTGCACAGATTACCTGTCTATTTTGCTTGTTTGTTTTTAAGAGAAGTTACTGAAACTTGAGTGCAGTGGAAAAATCCTCATTTCAAAGCACCACAGTTTGAACTAAATTGAATAATTTCAGGTTAAATGCACCTGTTCAAAATCCAAAGTTCACCATTTTGTTTGGAACAGTTTTTGAGAACCAAGTGGTCATGTAAATAAGGAAGCAGATGTAAAATGACAAGAGAGCAACTGACAAAATAATCACGAGCTTTGTTCCAATGGCTATTGGAGTATAATAAATAAAATGACAATTAACCAAAACCACCTTTATTTTAGTCTTCAATGTTCTTTTTTCCCCAAGATAAACATGATTAACTTAAAAAATGGCATTTACAATGCCTCTTCAAAGCATTCCCCTTTAACGGGAAACTTGGCTTCACAGAATCCAGACAGTGAAAGGTTTAAAAATAATTATATTTTGTTGTCATTATAAGACAAAACAGAATCTAGCGTAAGTCAAGGAAATCCATTCATACTTCAGGTCCTTCTCCTCCAGGAACCAGCTGCAAAAGAGAAAAAAGTTGAATAACACCACCACTACCATCATTTAAAAACACCTACTCAGAGCTCTCCTTGACCAAAGCCACTTTTGCCTCTGCCCCTCCCTCACATTCCCATTTTCTCCATGGCCCCATCACAATTCCACCATCAGCAATTAATACTTAGTGCCTCAACAATAATCCTTAGTAACATAAATTATTAAAAAGTACAGCAAACTCATCTTCAGGCCTAATGTCATCATCAATAGCTCAGCTTTCAAGCCCTGACCACCAGAGCATCCCTATCCCATCTAAAGCACCACTGGGCCATGAACACTTAGGCAAGCAAGGTAGCTCTGTAATCCCTTCCCCACAAAAAATGGTCTAACATCGAAATAAAACAGCTTTACTGTCTTACCATTGTTATGTTATTTCCATTTAGCAAAATCTGGTCTAATTTAGTGATCCTTCTTCCTTCTGGTGTGATTTCACTAAACGAATACATTAAAAAAAGAGTCAAGATAAACAGAGATAATCAAAGCCAACATTTTGACCCCTAAAAGTTATTATTGTATATAAATGAACATGAGGTCAGAAATTGTATCAACCGTTTTCAGAGACGCAGGCTATCTCCTGGATGATGTACTATCTTCCCCAACGGCGACACCGTAGACTGCCTGGCCTAAGGCCCACACCGACTAGGGCTGATCTTTATAAAAGAAGCTGAAATTTGCCAAGGAGATCAAATATGAAATAAAAGGTTTACTATCTTCACTCTGTTACTATTACTTAGTACTGATTCCTATCCATTAAACCAATCCACAGTCATTTCAATTTTGAAAGCAGATACTGGTTGCAATCTTCATGTTAATATAATTGAGCCATCATTTACATTTAATATTATACATAAATTACATTAAATGCTCTATCAATTCCTTGATTTGACCTGAGCCCTATTTTAGTATCTTTTATCTTAAAGATAACTTCCACTAAATTAGTCTCCACTAATTTCCTAGCAATTTAGTAACATTTCATTAGGTAACAACCCTCAGATCCAAATTTACTAGCATTGTGTCAGTTGATAAAATTTCTATCTTTAAAGTAATTCCAACAGGCAATGTTTTCTCATACATCATTTTACTGACTCAACAGCACTAAAACTGCCTTAAAGAGAGATTCTCCCCCCACCCCCACCCCAAGTCTTTAATTTTTAACACTACTTACAACTCAGTGACATCTTCCAGTACCATATCTGAAATTTGGTGTTAAGGAAATAAAGTAAAATTTACTCTGGCTTTCTGCCTTTATTCAGTTTCAATGGTAACATTTAACACAATAGCTTGAATTCAAAAAGCTTGTGATTGGTAGGAACTTTGTCTTCTTTCAGTTACACATCCACTTAAAATACTATTACAGCTTCCCTGAGAATGCATTGATTTTCTTATAGTTATCAGCAAGGAGACTGTCTATAGTTACTTCCGTTCTTAAATATTGAGGAAAAACTCATACCACCATTTTTTAAAAGGATACTGACAAAGTCATCAAATCCTAGAAGCGTGCCAACAATTTCCTTATCACTCTTCATCACAATGTGAATTCTTGATCCTATACACTTGTCCACAAGCTCTAGGTATTTTTTAAGAAAGAAGAAAAAGATTATTTACCAATTCATTACTCCAACAAATATTTGGGTGCCTATTGGTACTTATTACTTGCATATGATGAAAGATAAACTAGGAAAAGTATTCATTCAAAAACTTCAGGTTTTATACCACATACCTCTGTTCAATCACTCACTATATTACATTAAAGTTTCCTCTGCGCTCTACTCACCTCAATTTTGTAGCAATTTATCATGGTTGTGGTTTTATATTAGACCAGAGGCCCAGTGCATGGATTTGTGCACTGGTGGGGTCCCCCAGCCTGGCCTGCGGGGATTGGGCCAAAACTGGCTCTCCGACATCCCCCAAGGGATCCCACATTGTGAGAGGGCAGTTCTCGGGCAACCCATAATCAGGTTCCCTCCTCTCTGGTTCCAGGTGAGTCACCTGAGAACCACAGCTGCCAAGTCACCACAGCTCAGCAGCTCCTGCGTTGAGCATCTGCCCCCTGGTGGTCAGTGCGTGCCATAGCTACTGGTCGGATGGTCCAATGGTCGGTCGGTCGCTTAGGCTTTTATATATATGTGATTGCTTAACATAGAAACTCCTTTCTAGACTCTCAGCCCATGAGACCAGAAACAGGTTGTATTTCCTTATCACTGGGTCCTCAAGGGACAGTGCCTGGCAGATGCTGAGTATTCAGTTTGTCACGCACGGAGGGACCTGGAGAGCAGTAGGCTAAGCCAAGTCAGTCAGTGGGAGAAAGACAGGTACCACATGATCTCATTCATATGTGGAATCTAATGAGCAAAACACACTGATGAACAAAATAGGTCCAGAGACACAGAAGCATGGAACAGACTGAGAATCTCAGAAAGAAGATTGGGGGTGGGGGTGGGGGTTGAGGGAGAGATTAATCAAAGAACTTTATGCATATATGCATAACCCCTGGACACAGACAGTAGTGTGGTGAAGGCCTGGGGGGGAGCCGAGGAAGGGAGGGTTTGGGGGGGGGTCAATATAGGGGGGAGGAAGCGACATCTGTAATACTTTCAACAATAAAGATAACTTTTAAAAATAGTTTGTTATTGAAAAGTAATTTCTTGCCCTCGCTGGTTTGGCTCAGTGGATAGAGCGTCCGACTGCGGGCTGAAGGGTCCCAGGTTCAATTCCAGTCAAGGGCACATGCCCGGGTTTCGGGGTCCATCCCCAGTTGGGGGCGTGCAAAAGGCAGCCAATGATTCTCTCTCATCATTGATGTTTCTATCTCTCTCCCTCTCCCTTCCCCTCTGAAATAAAACAAATTTTCTTAAAAGTAATTTCTTAAAAAGATTGCCAAATGCAGAAAAAAACTTCAGTCACAGCCACACCCACTAACTCAATCACTCTGGGCTACTAAATATTAGGGCGAGAGGCACCACTGCCTTCACCAGAGCCTCCTGGCCGCTGCCCCCCTCACCCTAACTCTGGCCCGTCCGCTGCGTGGCAGCTCGCACGTCAATCAGCCGCCGGACGCTGCCTGGTCTGAGGTTTACTTGTCCTGTATCCTCTCTCCTCCGCTGGCTTGTGTGCTAAAGGCGGCAATGGCCGTGATTTCAATGTGTCCAATCGTGCCCAGCCACGGGGTGGTGCGCGGATGCTCCACAGCTGCTTGTTGAATGAATGAATGAATGAAGACAAATAGGGCGAGTTTCCAGTTCCCTCGGTTAAGGCTCATTCCAGAGCCCAGTGCTTCTCTCCATAAGCGGCCAGATCAGGGACAGGGTCTGTCTGGGGAGCTTCTCAGCGCCAGGCTGAGGAGTGGGGCTGCTCACGGCGAAGAAGGCGGGCGACGCATTTACCCGGCGCGGACCTTCCCGGGGACCCTGGGGTTCGGGCCTAAAAGGCCCTGCGCGCTCCAGAGGCGGGCGGCCTGGGACCGCGGAGACACCGAGCCTGGAGACAAGCCGCGAGGGGGACGCATTTTCCTAACCCTCGGCCGGGGCCGCCTCCGCCCGCGGCCCCGTGGCCCCCAACCCTAAGCTTCAGCTCCTCGCCCCCGTTTCCCGCAGGACCACCATTACCTAGAGGCAGCAGCTGCGACGGGTTAGTGGTAGCGTTAGCCGCCATGGCGACGCCGGAAGTGCATCGACGTCAGGATTGCAAGTTTGAAAGAGCGCGCTTCCGCCTCCCCGCCCCCGCCCCGCCCCCCGCAGCCGGGACAGGCTCGACCAATCTAAGGCCAAGCGTGCGATCGGGCCAGTCCACGTGGATCCCACCCGGGCCCTTCTTTCCCCGGCAGTGAGATCCCAGGCAATAGTTCTCTCCACTGACCATTCTGTGGTCTCGACAGGTACCCACTCTCCTCTCGAAGTTTCTGAGAGACATTAAAAATACCCTACCTTGTGAATAAATTCATTTGGAGACACTAAGGAATCCCACAATTGGCATTTTTTGAAAGCTTTTGTAGGGTGGGGATAATTTTTTTTTTTTTTCTGCTGTAGTTAGTTCATTTTTCTTAACCTTGTTATATCGAGGAGTCTAATTTTTTTAGACTTTTTGTATTCACTAATTCGTAAACGCATTGTCTAACGGGCAACCACCTGATGGCGCTCCATGTTAATGTCATCATCACTCTTAGGACACCTTAGCTTTTGCACTTTTTTGAATAGAAAGCAAATTCTCTGCCTTACTCTATTTTACATTTATGTCCTAGGAACTTAAAGCTAGAGTCAAACCAAGAGGGGCCAGGAGAACATTATTTAATGATATAACACATGGTTGTAAAGCACCCATCATTTACTCATTGAACAAGTAAGTATTGGTTGCACACTCTTTGCCCAGCATTTTGCTGAGTATAAAACAGTGTACAGAATAGAGCTACGAGCTCGTCTGCCTTGAAGAAGCTTAAGGTGTACGGGGGGGAGAGACAACGAACAAACATGTACAAGGCACATGAAATTTAATATGTTAAGCAAAAAGACCTCTTTCAGCTTCAAGATTTCTAGAGAAGTAGGTATGATTTAAGGCAGGGGTGGGCAAACTTTTTGACTCGAGGGCCACAATGGGTTCTTAAACTGGACCGGAGGGCCGGAACAAAAGCATGGACTGAGTGTTTGTGTGAACTAATATAAATTCAAAGTAAACATCATTACATAAAAGGGTACGGTCTTTTTTTTTTTTTTTAGTTTTATTCATTTCAAACGGGCAGGATCTGGCCCGCGGGCCACAGTTTGCCCACGGCTGATTTAAGGCAAATGTCAGTGAGGAGGTTCAGAAGCCCTCACAGAGGGGCCCTTGAGTTCAAAACCCTATAGGATTCAACCTCCTTCGAAACCCCAAGCCCGTCCTGGCTTTGTGCATCTCATAAATATTAAGCACCTACTGTGTGCCAGGAAACTTAACCAATACACTTACTCCTAATCTTTATGACTAGCCTTTGAAGCAGGTGTTAGGATGAAGTTCCTCATACTCAGAAAGATTAAATAATTTGCCCACTGACCAGATAGATAAGCTTGGGAAGCTTCAGAGGAATTAACAGGAGTCTAGTCATGGCAGACGAATAAGAACTGGATAGGCAGAAACGGGCAGGAGCAGCATTCCAAGTAGAGAGAACACCATGTGTCGTTAGTGTGTGCCCACCTCCAAACATCTCCTATTGCACTTTAATTTTAATCTTACATATTTTCTCTAAGTTTGGCATGAAACCCTTCCTTTCCCAAATGTTTACCGTAATCACTCCAGTCCTTAGTGATTTTACTTTATTACTCTTGGGATGCTCTGCCCCCAAGTTCTGAGAAATCCTGTTCATCTTTCAGGGCCAATGTGACTTTCTCTGGGAAGCTTCTCTGACTTGCAGGCTTGGTGGGCTCTCACTATCCTGCAGCAATGTTAATAGTTCTTGGAATGCTCTCAATATATTCTCTTCTAATTATCTGTCCAAGGGGTTACCACCTCCACAAAAACTGTGTGTTCTCCAGAGTCAAGAATTTTTCGGAAGCAGTATGATGATTACATCAGTTGGTTCTAAAGTTAAATTACTTTGGTTCAGATCTTGTCTCCACTACAATTCCTTCAAGTTATTTGACCTTGGGCCAGTTTAACCTTTGTCTTAATTTACCCATTGGAGAACTCTGCTTGTTGTACAATTGTTGTGAAGGTTAAATGAGATAATCCATCAAAAGTGGTTAGCAAAGGACTGGCACATTAGTGCTTATTTATTAAATTTGAGCTATTACTCCTTACTTATCTGCATTTCCTAACACCTAACATGATGCTTGGCTTTAGAGTGGGTGCTACAATAGCTAGTGTTGCTAGTTGCTTTCACTTTCATCTTATAGCTAGACATAAGCCACTTTAAGGCAGCAATTTCTTTTTTCTTTCTTTCTTTTTGAAATGCACGAAACTTACTACACACAGTTCCAGGTGTATGTTACAGTCTAATGAATGTTCTTTAAATTGATTCTCACTGCCCTGGCCGGTTTGGCTCAGTGGATAGAGCGTTGGCCTGCAGACTCAAGGGTCCCAGGTTCGATTCCGGTCAAGGGCATGTATCTTGGTTGCGGGCACATACCCAGTAGGGAGTGTGCAGGAGGCAGCTGATGGATGTTTCTCTCTCATCGATGTTTCTAACTCTCTATCCCTCTCCCTTCCTTTCTGTAAAAAAAATCAATAAAATATATATTTAAAAAAATAAATAAAGAAAAAGAAAATACTTAAAAAAATTGATTCTCACTATTTCAGTCGTACCCATCAATATCCTCCTAGATCTTCATAAGATTCTAAAGACAACCTGGCCGGTGTGGCTCAGTGGTTGAGCGTGGACCTGTGAACCAGGAGGTCACAGCGGGTTCCCCGTCAGGTGTACTCCATTCCTAGTGTGGGGCATGCAGGAGGCAGCCAATCAATGATTCTGTCTCATCATTGATGTTTCTATCTCTACCTCTCCCTCTCTGAAATCAATAAAAATATACTTAAAAAAAATTCTAGCCAAAACCGGTTTGGCTCAGTGGATAGAGCATCGGCCTGCGGACTGAAGGGTCCCGGGTTCGATTCCGGTCAAGGGCATGTATCTGGGTTGCGGGCACATCCCCAGTAGGGAGTGTGCAGGAGGCAGCTGATCGATGTTTCTCTCCCATCGATGTTTCTGATTCTCTATCTCTCTCCCTTCCTCTCTGTAAAAAATCAATAAAATATATTTAAAAAAAAAAAATTCTAAAGCCAAAGTAATGCCAAATTTGTTTGTGAAGCCCTTTTCTTTTCCTGGTTTCTCTTTCCTTGTTCTATTTTCTCCATACTGGAATGAGAGCAAAGACCAAATTCAAGTCATTACTTGATAGAGTTTAAAATTCACAAAAATATGCTTTAAGAAAAGTTAGTACTTTGTGTTCCCTTACAGTAATAAAATGACCATTAGCAATTTTCAATACTATTGATAAAGAAAGTCTCTTTATACAGTAGTTCTTGCTTATCTGAGGCTTTGTTTCCATGGTTTCAGTACACTTGGTCAAGCATGGTCTGAAAATATTAAATGGACAATTCCAGAAATAAATAACACCTAGCTTTGAAATTGCAGGCCCGGAGCAGTGAAGAAATCTCCCCTCATCCCTCTCATCCGATCTGGAAGTGATTCATCCCCTTGCCCAGCGTCTCCAGGCTCCCGCCCATTAGTCACTTAGCTGCCGTCTTGGTGATCAGATCGACTGTTGTGGTATCTCAGTGCTCACATATCCTTGTTTTACTTAATAATGGCCCCAAAGCGCAAGAGTGTCGATGCTGGCAATTCAGACATGCCAAAGAGAAGTTGCCAAGTGCTTCCTTTCAGTGAAAAGGTGAATGATTTCAACTTGAGAAGGAAAAGGGGGACTACTGTAATCTGAGAAAGGAGATCGAGTTCATTTACACGGTAGAGTTCATGGAGATTGCAGGAAGGGAGTGGTTTTATTTTATTGTGTTGTTTCCTGAGGCAAGATACAAAAAAAAGCAACAGGCTGATTCCAGATGGAGAGTTCACTTTTAATGAACTTGAAAACATGTCCTAGCTCGATGTCTCCAGGGTTTTCTCCCTTTAGCTCCCATAGAGCAGTCACAAAATAGACTTTATATCCAACGTAAATATATGTAACTAGAAGAGGCTCTTCAATGTATTATGTGTCCAGAAAAGCATTTCTAACTTTTTCCCTGGAGAAAAATACCATCAAAATACAAGCAAGTTTCCTGTCATAATAATGTTCAGAAAGTATTCCATTAACTCAGATTGTTATTTCCAATCTTGATAATCTCCTTCCAACACTTTTTCTAATAGAGGATAAATTTCTGGTTTTTTTCTCAATACATATTTGTCCTTATAGACATCTTATTAATGAATTTATTATTTTAATGCAACTCAAAAAATGTCACATCTAGCTGAAGGTGATTGATGGGGACTCATGAAGACTAAGTTTTGCTGTTACATGTTCACAGTGCCAGACTAATACTTGAGCCTGGGAAATAAGCCTCCCAGAGTAGCTTTAAAACTTCTTGCCCCCCCCTCCCCAACTTCTTTAAAAAAATGCTCTCTAAAGAATTCTGTACTGTATTTCTCTTCTAAAAATATGAATCGTTCAACCAGGCTCCTGGTGACAGATGGGTTTCCTTTAAGCCAAGGTTTTTTTGTTTGTTTGTTTGGTTGGTTTTTTGTTTGTTTGTTTGTTTGTTTTGTGTGTGTGTATGTGTGCGTGTGTGTGTGTGTGTGTGTGTGTGTGTGTGTGTGTGTTGGGGGTGGGAGGGCAGTTCTTCTTCTTCTTCTTTTTTTTTTTTTTTGCATTAAACAAAAAGCTAGTGATGACTTCCATGTGAAAACAAAGAGCCATAGTGTCAGCCTTGAAAAAAATTATCACAAATTGATAAAAGATCAAGCTCTTATTGACATATTTCATATATAGCTTCATAACTATATGTGATGTGAAAGAAGACAGAACAAATGTCCCCAGTAATCCATAAATTTGTTAGCTTAGCATCATAGAAGAAAAGTTTTGATTCCCTCACTTCTTGGACACAAACTCCTGGACAGCAAATTTGTGTGGGCTTTCTATTGGGGAATGGAGGAGAGGACTGTTCAGGTGGTTTATCCTTAATCAACACCAGATTATCTTAATTACTATAGCTTTATAATGCTTCCTGATATTT